GCAATAAGCTGGTAGCGCAGCCGTGGAAGGGACAACAGACAATGGCACAGAAATGAGAGATGACAGGTCTAGTTTTCAGTGCCTGAGTTATTTGACAGGTCTTGTGAAGCTGCAGAATCATCCCTGTGAAGAGAGGAGGAGGCTGGGGAATTGGGAAAACAATGGGGTATGCATAAGTTTTTGTATATGCCCCATTCAGCATAGGCATTTTTAGGAAGTGATTTGTTGTAGGAGTTTTGAAGCAACCATTACATTCAAAAATGGGAGTGGGTCCTCTGGAGCTGAATGATAAAAACTACATAGAGGTATTAAGTTTAACCTTAACAGCTATTGAAATTGAGGGGGAAATTGATGAAGAGATACTAAGTCAAGTATTTCCCAGGGTATGGACCTCTGGTGTACCAGGGATGGCAAAAAATGCCTCCTCCATAGTAATTAAGCTTAAGGAAGGGACACAACAAGTCAGAATTAGGCAGCAATACCCCCTAAAGAATGAAGACAGGGAAGGAATCAGCCCAATAATTGAAAATTTTCTGCGGTTAGGATTATTGAAAGAATGCCAATCTGATTTCAATACTCCCATTTTACCCGTTGGGCAATCTGATGGGTCAGACCGGATAGTACAGGATTTGAGGGCTGTCAATAAAGTAAGAGAGGATTTGTATCCTGTGGTAGCCAATCCATATACTTTACTAACTTGTTTAACACCTGAGCTAACCTGGTTTACCATTTTAGAATCAAATGATGCCTTCTTTTGCCTCCCTATCCACAAAGCCAGCCAGAAAATTTTTGCATTAGAATGGGAAAGCCCTAAAAGTGGGCACAAAACCCAGCTCACATGGTCCATGCGCCTGAAGGCTTCAAAAAATTCCCCCATTCCGATTAGAGAACAACTTGCAAAGATCCAGAGTCCTGGGAAGCTCCACAGGAAGAAGGAAGGCTTTTGTGGTACCTGGATGATCTTCTAGTAGCCACTCGGACGAGGGAAGCATGTCTGGCCTGGACAGTAAGCCTTTTGAATTTCCTAGGACCCCAAGGACACAGAGTATCAAAGAAAAAGGCACAGGCAGTGAAAGAGAAAGTAATCTACCTGGGGTACCAGGTGAGTGCTGGGCAACGGACGTTAGGGCAGGCTCGCAAGGAGCCATATGCCAAACCCCAAAACCCCAGACAATAAAGGAACTCCAAACCTTCTTAGGCATGGCAGGGTGGTGCCGACTGTGGTTTATAATTATGCACTGCTTGTCAGACTCCTCTATGCTCTTATGGCCAGTGGAAACAGAGATCTCCAGTGGACAAAGGAAGGCACGTGGGCCTTTCACCAGCTAAAGAGTGCCCTCATGTCAGCTCCAGCTTTGGGACTTCCAGATGTAAGTGAACCATTCTTTCTGGTTTCCCATGAAAGACAGGGCATTGCCCTGGGAATATTGGCTCAGGACTTGGGTCCATATCAGAGGGCAGTTGCTTACCTCTCCAAGCAACTAGTTGCCACAGCCAAATGAAATTAGTGTCTCAAGTTTGTGGTGGCCTAAGTGCATCAGATTGTTGGTGTAATTTCACCTTGGTACAGCCTGTAGAAATGACTTGCCTTTAAGGTTGAGATGCTATCGGGCTCTCATTTAAATTTTAAATCGACACTGCACTTTTTACAATGGCAGGACCTTATACAACCCACACTAGTAATCAAATAGTTCAGACCCAACCTAAACTTGAACCTGAAGTGTATGAAATAGGACCGTACATAATGAGGAATGTGGGTGAACAATGACTGTTGTTCAATCCAGAATGGTCTCTCAAACGTTTTGAGTTGCTAGTGCAAATTAACATCTCAAAAATCCAACCTGCCTGCTCCCCTTTCCTAAGAACTTCCTTTGAGGGCTGCACAAGGTGGTTACAAAGACAGATATAGCTCAGGAGCAGAAGAAGAAATGATCTAACTGGGATGTTTGGGAATGGATTGAAAGTTTTAAATGGAATTGATTCAGAAATACTGATGAATAAGCTGGCCACTGCAGCAGGTGACCTAGCAAAATTCAAGCAGCCTTTACAGTCATCTCTATTGGCATTAGGAACTAGCCAGTGGCAGATTTCCAAAGTACTGCCAAAGTGGGAAAAGGTTGGGGGCCAAGACCACAAGGTAATAGTAGAAGCACTTGGTACAGTTCAAGATAATGTGTCTTTAGCTTTCAGTTGTATACAAGCACAGTTATAGATGCAGGCAACAGCAGCTCTGATCATACGGGAAAGGGGTGAAGGTAATTTTCCTGCTTCTTATGTGGCCACTCCCTTTGTACTTACCATACGTAATGCCACTGTTTATGTTATCCACCCCATATTGCACTAGGATTAAATAATGAAAAAACAGTGCTCTACCCTTCAGAACATAGGGTGTGGGCAGGAAAGGTGAATGAAAAGTGGCCAACAGTAAAGTTAGAATCCTGCATTACTAGAGAACAACTAGGATTCATTTGTGAAAGCAATACAATTAATGGCCAAGATGTGTGTCTAGACACTGAACAGAGTATTTGCCACTTTGAGATTCACCCAGTCACTGATCAGAAAAAATGTGCTCGTATCTACTAGTAAAAGTTATGTGTGCCTGAGAACTGCTTGTGCTGCTGTAAAAATTGATAGCAACGATGTTATTTTGTCTAGAAGAAATAATTTTAATTTTTGTATTTGTAATTTTGTGTATGATTATTGGGTGTGATTTTTTGTACGTGGCCCCAGTGACATCCCACCGGTTGACTAAAACCAATTACACAATGTAACACAGACCATCACCTACTCCTATTGGGATGGACCTTACATTGATAAAACAATTAATTAAGCACCAAGACCTACTACAGATCTCGAAGGAAATTCCAGAAAGCAGAGAAAACCTTAATTACTGTCCAACATGATAACAAAGAAATAACCAGAATTCGGCAAAGAATAGAACAAACTGCAGATCATCACTGGTGGGATGTGATCTTTGGGTGGTCACCAACTGCCAATGGAATCCTTAATAAAATATGTCATCCCGTTGTAGTTTTGTTATTATTAGTTTGACTAAGTTTAGGGTTGTCCATTATATTGCTAATTTGAAATTGGAGAATACTACAGCGAACAGCTGTGTTAACCTCCTTATCAAATGTACATGGTAAAGCATTAAGAGACACTTATTGTCGTAGGCATTTGCATTAGATAAAAGAATTTCCCTATTGTCTAGGAAAAGGGGGAAAAGAGACAGAGTAGAAATTTTCCAGAGTAGAAATCCATTTTGATTTAGGTGAAATGTACTGCAGTCTGTAGTTTGAAAACATAGCTGTTGAGTCTGACTGCCTGTTCTGGTAAAAAGCCTAGGCTCAGAGAAACTGCTTCAGTGAAGGACAGAGATGGGGGGGGCACAGAGAGACAGAGGAACTGCTATGAGAACAGGCCAACCTGACCTGGGAATTCTTTCTGATAAAGATTAACTAGCGGTAAATGTCACGCCAAATTTGTAAAAATGAATATGTATGAACCTATGTAAAATTGGATGCATATCTATTTGAGAGGCGGATAAAAAAGGATCTGGAGTTCCCAGAGGTACGCATGTCTTTTAAGGAGAGGAATCTCCACATGCATCCAGCACAGTAATAAATATACCAACTTTACAACTTTCACAAAGTCGTGTTTATCTCCGCAAAACAGGACCCGGCGTCAGCTGGCTCACAGAGACCCTTCTGCACAGCAGGAGATTCCCACTGTTCTCAAAGTTTGCCTCTGAAGACCGAGAGATGAGCTTGTAAGAAATGCTGGAAATTATCAGGGAAAGGGCTTTAATTCCCTTGTTGTCACTAGGTAAAATCTCCAGTGGGAAGAGGGCCTCATCATACACCAGGTGTCCTGTGATGACTTAGATCATCTAAGAGTAAAGATCACCAATTAAATGCAGTTTTATTTTTAATTCGGCAAGTGTAAAAGTGTTCCAAATTTTTCACAATTCTAAAACTACTTTGAAAAATCCTAAACTACAATGGGAAAAGGGAAGAAATATTTGGGGGTATTTTTCTAAAAAAATGTTTCTAAATTTTTCTAAAATCTTCTGCTGTGTATAAATGTAAAACAAAGACAAAATGAGGTTGCTTTGACTCAGGAGCCCCGTGCTCAGCTGCTGCCAGCCCAGCCCTGGCTGTGCCCAGACAAGCAGCTCCAGCAGTGCTGGTGGTAGCACAGACACACCTGGGCTGAACCCCAAAGATGTTGCCATGCTCAGGCCCATCCCTGGTAGGAGGGCTGCACCTCCTGGCCTGGCTGGACACCAGGGGCAGGACCTTTCGGGACAGAGGCTCCTGCTCTGGGTGGTGATACCAACAAGCTGTCCCTAGCAATGAGCTGGTAATGCAGCCGTGGAAGGGACAATGGTCACGGGCAAGGAGATGCGAGATGACAGGTCCAGTTCTCCCTGGCTGAGTTATTTGGCCAGTCTTGTGAAGCTGCAGAGGCATCCCTGTGGAGAGAGGAGGTGGCTGAGGCCCCAGCTGCCGGTGGCACACAGGGAGCCTCCTGCACAGCAGGGCCCAGAGCTGGCAAGGCTGCCCAGCACGGCTGGAGCTGCTGGCACAGCTTGGCCCAGCTGCACAGCTGCCCCTCAAGGCCCCGGCAAGCAGGGCACAGCTCTGGGAAGGCTCCCTGGCCAGGAGCAGGTCCCAGAGCGCCTCTGCCTTTCAAGGGCAATCTCGTCCCTGCTCTTTCTCCTCCCCACCTTGCTCTGCCTCTGCCCTGTGCCCCTGGGGCTGTTCTTGGCCAGGCAGCCTCAGTGGGAGCCAGCACTGGCTGCAGCCCCAGCGGGCCCCCCAGGACAAGGCCCAGCAATTAGGAGGCCAGTGAAAGCACTGGGCAGCAGCAGAACCCTCAGCAGAGTTAGATGGAAAACCATGGACTGGCCAAAACTGCACTGCAGCTTCTCTGGGAATGTTTCCTGTCTACATTAGACTTTCAAAAGTAGCTGTTTGAGGGAAAGGTGAACAAAACACTCACCCTTTTCCAGTAAGTCCAAATTTGCACACAGCATAAGATGAAAATAAGCTCCAAAATAGCAGCCCTGCCATTAATCCTATCCAGCAGCCTATTGCTTTACAGAAACTCCTTCCAGGGTCCTTCTGGGAATCCAGAACACGTGTGGTGGGGCTGGCTGCACCTGTGGGAGCAATGGGGAGCGTCAGCCCGTGCAGTGCTGCACTGCTGAGCTGGCAGCACGGTGGATGCGGGCAGGACGTTCTCCGTTTCCCCCAGAGCTGGGGCCTGCAGGCACCTTGCCACCCCTTGGCACAGGCTGTGCCACCCAACAAAGCCCAGCAGGCCGGGAGGAGAGCCCGGGGCCAGCGCAGCTGCTTGGGCAGTGGCTGCTTGGAGGGACACGGGCCACAGCCATCCCTGAGCAGCCACTGCCAGCCCTGGCCCTCCCTGCCCCGTGACAGCTCCCCCAGCCCCAGGGCACAGATCCTCAGGCTGCAGGAAAGGCTCAGCCCCGGGGCACAGCCCTGGGCCCAGCCCCTTCCCTCCCTGCTCTTCTCCATGGCTGCACAGAGCACACAGAAGGACATGCTGTCATTCCACACGGAAGAAGGATGGACAGCTAAATGCTCCTTCCTCCCACTGACAGTCATCCTGTGGGATCCCTCAAGGCTCCAGAAGGGAGCAGGGCAAAGTTTCCAGAACTGAACAACCTTTAGAGGAACTTAAAGGAAATGCCATATGAGTGAGCTCTTGCCACATAGACATGGATTATTCTTTTAGGAAAGGTACGTTGAGAACTTGTCTCCAGCATTTGACAACATCTTCAAACCACCATTTACCAGCCTTTCCAAGTAATCCAAGTCATGATCCCAGTCTAGAAGGGAGCAGAGATGCTACAGAACCATTTCTATGATGTGCTGGGATCCCCTTCTGATTTGGGGACTTGGTACTGCAAGGGGGTGAGGTAAGGCTGTGGGAGCCTGTGGCTCCTGATCACTCTCCAGAAACTTTGCAGTCCCTGTGCAACATCCCTGGAGGGGCAGCTGGAGCAGCCCAGGGCCCTGGGGCTCTCTCGCTGCCACACAGGAAACCCTCACTAAATGCTCGGGGAAATCTGCAGTGCCACAGCTATTGCTCCCAACCTCTGTCCCGCCCTCCTGTTTGCCCACCTTCCCATGGAACAGCTTCCCCAGCCCAAGGGCACATAGCCAGGCTCTGTCAGGACCCAGGGGAGCCTTGCTCTCCCCCTCTGCCCTTTCCCCACCATGGGCACCCCGTGCAGCCGCTCGCAGGTTTCGAGACGTGTCTCCCATGGAGGGAGCCCAGCAGGACAGCTCAGAACCCGAGTGCCCTGAGCCTGCTCAGGACAATTCCTCTGGGCTGTGCCCGTCTTGTCCGGGCTGTGCCCGCAGTGCCAAGCAGCAGGGAGGGCAGCTCAAGCCTCAGCAGGGCTCAGGCCCAAAGGCACAGCAATTACCTCCTGTGGCTGTGCCTGGCATCGCCTCCCTTCCTGCAGGAAATGCCGCCTTCCACAGAGCCTCTCTGTCCATCCCTTGAGAAAGGAAGAGGCTTGGTGGGATCAGATGCAATCATTGCACATGCAGGTGGTGGCCTCTTCAGGAGGCAATACTTGTCCACAACATGGATAAGAATCAGGAAAATCCTGATTCCCACAGGCCTTTGGGGCTTCCTATGGCCCTCCCTCTGCCAAGCAGCCACACCTCAGGATGTGCTCAGACACCGGGAAAATGCAGGGGATCCATGGTGCAGTTTGGGCTCTCTGTCAGCTGATGCCCAATGCCTTCCTGCAGAGGCTGGGGAGAAGCTGCAGCCAGGCCAGGCTGGCAAACAGCCCTGCAGGGCGTGGAAGCAGCAGCGGGGCAGCGAGGCTGCCATGGATCCCTTCCCGCTGTGCTGGGCACGGCGTGTCCAGATGTGCAGCCAAAGCCCCCGGCTGCTGAGCCCCAGGACAAGGCTGAGGGAAATGCACCCACATTGTCCTGCCTGCTGCATTTCCTTCGTCCTTTGCCTCATGTGTTCAGATGGCTCATGGGCTTTCTTCTGTCCTGCAGCTTTGTTCTTTCATTTTAGAGGACCTTAGAAAAGCATGTTTCCTCTTCCCATTAATGGATCCCACAGAAGCAGGGCTCAGCCCGTGGGGTCAGCAGGGACACACTACTCACCCCTGCCATAGGAGGCAGGTTTCTGTGTAGGAATGAGGGAAGGATCAGGAAGAGTCCTCCCTGCAGACACATCTGTAACACAACAGCCACAGAAGCTTCTGCCACCTCAACTCAGCTCCACGGACACCACTGAGCCTCAGGAGCGCTGAGGGGATGGCGCAGGGTGAGGGCACACACGTGCATGGCTCTGTCCTGGCACCCGCAGCAATGCCCCCCTGGCCGAGCTTTGGGCTCTGAGCTGGCAGCTCTCCCAGGGGAAAGGCCTTGACCAACCCTCGCCATCTCCCTGAGGCTCAATCCTGAACGTGATTTGGGAAGCCAGATCACCTTCATCAACAGGTTCAGCTGCAAAGAAAGGCAGGACAGAACAGCACCCGTGGCACTGTAGGAGATCCTCAGGCTGCAGGAGAGGCTCAGCCCCGGGCACAGCCCTGGGCCCAGCCCCTTCCCTCTCTGCTTTTCTCTGTGACTGCACAGACCGCACGGAAGGACACAGAGGCATTGCACATGGGTGGAGGATGAACGGCTACATGCCTCTTTCCTCCCACTGACAGTCATTCTGTGGGATCACTCAGGGCTCCAGAAAGGAGCAGGGCAAGGTTTTCAGAACCCTTCTGCCCTGACTTAACCTCTAACGAAAATGGCAGATGAACAAGCTCTTGCCACTTGGATGCTGATTAATATGTCACTAGAAAGGGAAATTCAGAATTTGCCTCCAGCATTCTTCAAGACAATCAAAATATCATTCAACAACAATTGCAAATCAAGAAAGTCGTGATCCAAATCTAGAAGGGAGCAAAGACCAGACCCATTTCCATGATGCACTGGCATCCCCTTCTCCTTCCGAGAAACTGGGCACTGCAGGGTTGTCAGGTAAGGCTGTGGGGGCCAGATGTCAATGGACAAGGCCAAAGCTGCACATGGGCCTGGGGAGCTCTGGGCTGGCTCCTGGTCACTCTCCACCCTCTTTGCAGGCCCTGTGACACATCCTGGGAGAGGAAACTTGCGCTGCCCAGGGCCCGTGGGGGCTCTCGCCCTCCCCCAGAGGAAACCCTCCCTAAAGGCCTGGGGAAAACCATCCCCAGCGCTTCCCGGGGAGCAGGGAGCGCTGTCCCGGGAAAGGGGAGCCAGGCTGCCGGCTCACCTGCTTGCCGCGCTTGCAGCGGAGCAGCCTGGGCAGCCCTGGCAGGCAGGGCCACGGCCAGGAGGAGCAGGAGGAAGAGGCGCAGAGCAAGGGCCATGCTGCCTTGCCCTCTGCCAGTCCCGCAGCTCTTGCTGCCACCGCTGTCCTGACACCGCTGTCCCAATGTCAGCACCACTGCTGCCACCGCCGCTGCTGCTGCCGCAACAGTTGTGCTCAAGCACTGACTGCTCGCTCCTTGTGCTGCTGTGCAACCACGGGGCTCTGGCACCTCTGTGACCTCAGAGCCTGCTGTGACCTCATGGCCAGGGTGGAGTTGTGTGGGGAGTGGGATCTGCCTTCTTTGGCAGGGAGCTCGTCCTGCCCAGCTGCTCTGTCCAAGGGCTGTGACACAGTCCCAGCCCAGCTGATCTCCCAGGCTGGGCCATGAAGGGATGGAGAGCAGCCCTGCCAAGAAGGAGTTAGGGGTGCTGCAAGATGAGAGGCTGCACATGAGCCAGCCATGTGCATCCAAAGGAGAGTGCCCAGCAGCTTGAAGGAGGTGATTCCACCCCTCTGCTCTGGTGAGACCCCACCTGGAGTACTGTGGAAGAGGTTTTACAGTGACCTCTGTGAGCCACTGAGAACTTTGACAAGAGGATACATGTTTACCCCTGAAAGAATCCCTTCCAATGTTGTTGACATAGAAACCAAGAAAGAAAAAAGGATAAATAATTGAAACTTTCAACTGCTTATTTCAAGAAGCATTTTGCTTGTCTCTCTTGACGAGTGAGTAAAATGTAAATTATGAGCTTTGTAATAATGTAGAACAAGCATGCATGCTAGAATAAAAACAGTGTTTGAAGACTTCTGGAAACGGAGTGCGTTGCTTTGTGCTGTCTTTGTCTGTACCACGACAGAGTACTGCATCCAGCTCGGGGCTCCCCACACAGGAATGCCATGGTCCTGTTGGGTCTAGTCCAGAGGAGGGACAAATTGCTCTGAGGGCTGGAGCCCTTCTGCTTTGGAGACAGGCTGGGAGAGCTAGTGGCGTTCAGCCTGGAAGGGAGCAGACTCCAGGGAGACTTGATTGCTGCCTTTCAGTACCTAAGGGGGCTTGTAAAAGAGATGGGACAGGACTTCTACTAGAGCCTTTTGTGAGCAGACCGAGAGAGAATGCTTTTAATCTAAAAGATGGTCGATCCCGACTGGACGAAAGAAACCCATTTTTTACACTAGGCCTGGAAGGCCTGGCACAGGTTGCCCGGAGAAGTGGACATCCATCCCTGCAGACATTCAAGCTCATGATCTCAGCAACCTGACCTACTTAAAGGTGTCCCCGCTCAGTGCAGGGCATTGGACTAGATGGCCTTTAAATGTCCCTTCCAAGCCAAGCCATTCTGTGCTCCTGGGCACCATCAAAGCAGTGCTGGATTAGTGCTGGGGTGATTATGTGGCACCTGTGTTTTGGTAGTTGTGTCCTTTAGCAATTGGCCCTGAGAGCATTCATGGTCTGGGCAGTGAAGTCTGCAAATAACAGACAGTGTGCTCCAGGAGTGTTGCAGTGTGATTTCATGGTTTACCCCAGAACCCTGGGTTTCTCCCCTGAAGATTCCCTTCCAGGTGTGTCCATCACCCCTCCTTTCGCCACCCTGACCCCTGCCGAGCACTGTCTGCCGATCCTGGAATTCCAGAAGGGCATTGAGTGATTGGCAGATTCAAAAGATGCCCTCTACCCGGGGTGGGGGGGGCATTGGGCCATCCATTTGTCATTTGTCCCTTGAGATTTCCTCTCCTGTCCCAGGTTGGTGGGCTCCCTCTCCCTTCCCTCCTGCCCTCCCTCGGGTAAAAGGGCGAGCAACCATGCGGTCCAGGAGT